CCTCTCCGGGCCATTCCTCACCCCTTGGGTTCCAGCTTGACTCACAGTACGACTGTAGTTTCCTTCCTCCGATTGCTCGGGGATCAGCTCCGGTTGCTCAATGGGCACGATGGGTTCGTCCCTGTTTTCTTGCAACATCTGCCTCATTTCTTCCCTTTGTTCAACTAACATAGCCCGAATCATGGCTTGTACTCCAGCCATTGTGATTGTCTCAGGTGCAACTTCTACTACAACAGGCACTTGCTCAATTACTGGTGGTTGGTCCCTGTTCCCATTTGTGTTCACGATTCCACTACGTGTCCTTGCCATCTTGATCTATACACCGAATAAGGTGAATTTAGATCTTTATTTAGGATAGACGTGTAAATCATCCTTATCACTCTGAAACGTTTATAAATTAGTTCTAATATCCTAGTCGTACGTTTAGAATCCTGAACACATAAGGTTTCCAGATCCGGTCGACAACAGACCATAGATCCGAAAAAATAATAGCATGCAGCACTTAAAAGCATATTAGGCATTTTTCCTAAAATAAGCTAGTGCTCACATCTCACAATCATCGCTTAGCATTCTAAGTTTAAGTCTACAAATCCTACAAATTCCTAGTTCGCTTAAACTAATGATCTGATACCAACTGTGACATCCCCATTTTCACGGCCAGAAAAGACCGATTTTGTTTATGCTTTGTTTGAAAATCAGAGTAACTTTTTAAATAAAAGTGTTGCAGAATTTGTTCCCAAAATAAAAATATGATAAAGATTTATCAAAGCATTTCCGTAGAAATGTATTTCATTAAAAATCTCGGGATGTCATGTTCGATACAGATCAAAAGCTTAAACAGTACAATATAAGCCTTACGACATTATTTAATATCTACAGGCCTATAATCCGTAATACCTCATCCAAAACGTCACATCTATGCTCGAGCGCCACTACCTGTAATACATGAAACTGAGTGGGTCAGGCTTGGGAGCCTGATGAGCACATAGGGTTTTCAACCCACAATAAATAAGTTTATTAATTTCATCAACCAACAATAACCCGATTACCCGTTCCCGTTATCCTCACTTTACGTCCCTAAAACACCTATCATAAGGGACCTAGCCTAAGGATCATCATCGGGATGGACACTACTGCCAAGGGGGTTCCTCAGCAGTAAATGTCCTTAAGGAAACCATGAGGGGGATGGAGAACACCCGGTGAACACATCGTTCACAAACACCTACAGGTTGCGAGCCTACTAGCGTTCCACTAGACTGTCTAGAAGAGTCCGTGATCGTCATCTATACTCGGCTAGATGACTGGATCAACAACAACATCGAGGCCTCTCATCATTTTTATCACACATCGTATTATTACATCTACCCATGTTTTACCCCAAAATTTTTGTAGATATAAAATACATATACAGTTTAAATCATTTAAAACATGTATAAAAATCATTCATCCAACATAGACAGCAAGTATTCAGATAATATGCACACATAGCACGTAATTTATATATAATACTTCATATATATGTGTAATATGAAAAGTAACTATGCACTCACCTGTAAAGGTGGTGACTCGGTACTCGGACAACACTTCGTTACCCTTAAAACAATTTCCCTCGGACAAAACCTAATATCATTACCACTAGAGTTTAGTCTAATATTCACCGGGACTAATTAATAGTATTGCTATTATTACTATTATATAAGCGTTAACACAATACTCTTCGCCCACTATGTACAGACAGGGGCCAGACATGAAACACCGGAGGGCAGGATCATTTTGGCATATAACACTTCTGAATCTAGCAACCCAAGCGGCCCTTCAAACCGGATTCGCCGTACCGCGAGTGGTTAAAAATATATTATAACGACACTTATATAACTCATAATAATAGCCCAAATATTTATTATAAGGTCTTAATAACATTACTATATTGAAACATAAGTTATACTAAAGATAGGGTAGACGTAGCTCAACTACAACGGATTTTTCTCAAAATCGGGATCCGCCGAAGCAGAGCTTCTGAGCCGAAGGCTCTTCTTTTTCGGAGCTGTCAAGCGCTCAGGGGCTTCCGCCTTGTGCTAGGGAGTTACCGTAGGCTTTGGGGGTTAGGGAGGCTTAGAGAGAGTTTCTAAAGAGAGAAAGAAGGGGTGAAGGTGTGAGTTTGGAGGCAGCCCCGACACCTCTATTTATAGGCTGCCTGGAGCGTCACCACGTCGTGGTGTTGCGTAGGCTCCAAGGTTTCGTCTGGTGCTGACACGTGGCATCGCACACAGGGTGGAAATCAGCCGATTTTCAAAAATTCATAACTTTCGCATACAAGCTCCGTTTTCGACGTTCTTTATATCCACACGTAGGTAAAAATAAGATCTACAACTTTTATTTTGACTCCGTCGGCTAATTCTCGACCGATCTTAAATTTAACAGTACAAGGAGATTATACTGTTAAATGTCCTCGTAAAATTCGTAACTCCTTCATACGGACTCCGTTTTCGTCTGTCTTTTTACTGTTAAGTTCCTATTAATGAGATCTTCAACTCTCATTTAGGTCGCGTAGGCCAAAAACCGCTCGAACTAAAATTCAACTTTTGGTTCGTGCACTGCTATGCAAAATCTTAGAAAATTCATAACTTCCTCGTACGAAGTCAAATTTTGGTGTTCTTTTTATAGACGCTCTCGGTTTAACATATACTACAACTTTTGTTTAGATTACTAAGGCCAAAAAGTCCTCTATCATAAATTTACTATTTACGTCTCCCGGTGTCGTGCCGGTTTTGCCGCGAAACTTCGACGAGTCATAACTTCTTTGTTATAACTCGGATTTCGGCGTTCTTTATATATCCAGAATCCTTGTTTTGACCACTACAACTTTATGTAAAGATATCGGGCTTATCTCACACTTTAATTTTGACGCTTATTTTTAGCCTTTATTAATTATACATTTATAAATAAGTAATAAGCACATAAATTCACATAATACTTCAAATAATTCATCTTTATTACTTCAAAAGAGTTACAATAGTTGACCTAGAATATTACATCATCTATTAATGCTTAGCCCTGAAACGTGGGCGTTACATTGACCAGAGAGTAGCATGGTCCCTTTCGGGTTGCCTTCATCAGGACAATTTGATAGGATGGATATTTGAGTAAGAAGTTAATTATGATTTATTAATATATTATAAGTATAATATATTAATTGAGGAATCATATTATTTAATTAGTATTAATCAAGAATTAATTTGGTGATCAAAAGAGAATAATTAAATTAACGGGGACTGATTAAGTCAATCAGTAATATTTATAGTTTGGACCAATAATCCATATTGATTAGGATGGACTAATTCTATGTGGAAGTCCATGAAGAGTTAATCCATAAGGACCATCATATGGATTAGTGGATTGCTTAAAGGCTTAAGTAAATGGACTAGGGTTTACAAGTTAAACCTTAGGTAGCCCACACTATAAATGTAACCCTTCTTTAGCCAAAATCGTGCCTAAGAGTGAAATGACATGAGATGGACGATTTTGTGCTTCATAACTCCTCTCTCAATATTCTCCAATTGTTCATGATGTTTGTGACTTGTTTGAGGCACAACACTTGAGGTGCTAAGCTCTTAAAAGGCCAATGTTTACAAGCTACAACAAATAGGTGATCTTCTAACTTACTTTTATGATTTATATGTCAAAGTGTATGCTAGTTGTAGGCTTAATGCTTTGGAAACAATATTACATGTATAATTAGAAAAAACATAGATCCAATGCATTTAGGGTTGTATGTGCACCATAGAATGTTGTAGTATATAAAACCCAACAGTGGTATCAGAGACATGAGTTGTTTTCTATTATGTTTGATGCTTGCTTAATTTTCAAAGCTGGAAAAATCGATTTTCTGCATTCTGTCTGATGAACTCGCCAAGTCCATGAACAGACTCGACGAGTCCACTCAGTAAAGCATGAACTCGGTGAGTCCAGTTCATGAACTCGTCGAGTAAGTGCTCCAGGGTGCAGATTTTCGAGTTTTGGCCAGAAAATGGATAAGATCATTACCACAAACTGTTTTGCAAACATAAAAAATTGTATTTTTTTGATTTGGTAATGATGATCCTCATCCAATTATAAGATAATTGTCATAGTTTCAAGATTTGTATTAGTTTATATGATAGACTAATTTCTTGCAAATAGGTGATGTGAATTATCTTGACTTATGAGTTTAGTTGGATCATAAATAAATTATTTGATAATTTTTGTTAGTTAAAAATATGATCTAATTACCTTTAATGAAATCCATAACTAGTCCTCAAGTTATGGAAAATGAAAAGTTTTTCTTTTAAAAGGTCATTAAAGCTCATAGGTTATGGAAAATGAAAAAGTCTCATTTTTAATGGTTTTAAAGTCTTCCATAACTTGCCCTCAAGTTATGGAACATGAAAAGTTTTTTTTTCATAAAAACCACATTAAACTCATAAGTTATGGAAACCAAAAGTTTTTGAAAAGTTCAAAACTTGCCCTCAAGTTTTGGAATTTGTATAGTCATACTTTTGAATACTTTAATTCCAAACCCTAGAATTTTAAAAGTTTAAAATTCAACCCTTATGGACTTTATTAATAGTTAACTAGATGAGAAATCCCGCTTTGCGGGATATGGATTTAGACAACTTCGATCATTCCGGCCACTTGGTGCTTGTTATCGATAGAAAGGATTACATAGTAATTTGGAGGGAATATAAAGACTGTAATATATTCGTTTTTAAGATATACATAGAAAAAAAGCTGACTACACAGCAAAATCAAGGTAAATCCACTTACTCGTCTAATATGACAAACACACAAAGCAAGCAAAATAGGTTAAATGCTATGGTTTTACATCTTCCTGTAGGAGGTCAAATATTGCATCCAAAAAGAGTAAAAGAAGATGTATACAACTACCAAAGGAAAAAAGACAAATATACTCTCATTATCATCAAATTTTTGGCGAGTCTCAATAGTCTTAGCACCTCCATTTCTTAATCCACAAAAAAGATTATAGCTTTCTCTGTTATGTTCTGATCAATTACTCTAGAAGGTGGGTTCAAAGCTGAAAAAAATACACATTAAAATGAATTTAATACAACAATATGCAAACAAATTCAGTCGAATAACATTGTTCTCTTACCAGCAAATATGCTATGAAAATTATTGGAATTTATGTGCTCCATTGTTGGATCATTCGGGTCGACCAACATGAATACAAGTTCTCTTTCAGATGTAAGGGCCTGCACTTGACAGAAACGAAAAAGTAGTAAATGACCATTTTAACCTTCTGCTTGTTTATATTGAAGAGTAATATCGTACCTGATGCACTTGAAAAGTACACGTCTTTTTTTGAGAGACCAAGCTGTCATTTTCAGAATTACACTTTGTCTGAACCCATCTGAATGAATAATAAAACAATCAAACAATCAAGAAAAAGAAGAATATTTATATCTAAGTGAATGGGGTTGGGGCGTATGCTATTGATATTCATATATATAATATATGGGTGTTTATTTTCGACTTAATGTAGAATGAATTACAACTTAATACAGAAAGTTAGGGGAAAGCAAATGAATCCCACAAGTTTGACAACTTATTGATTGTTTCACTTCACAGACAGTAATAAATAAGAAATGATTTTTAACGAATTGAAAATAACCCATTTGTAAATTCAATACTATTTGTTTCTTTTAATAAAAATCATATTTCATGTTTTAAGAGTGTCATATCAGCGTATTGTTTTTGTTTTATGTTTAAATGGGTCAAATTGCGAAAAACGAAAAAAAAAAAAAAAAAAAACCCAATAAAAATGACCAAATTAGATAAAAAAGGGCAAAATGGTCATTTTGACAAAAAAATAAACTTTCAGTTTTAAAAGTTTCATATCAGTAATTTTTGTCAACTTAAGTATGCGAAATTATGAAACCCAATTTTTTTTTGGTAAGAATAACAAACTTGACCAAAAAGGTCAAAATGGTCATTTTAAATAAAAAAAAGAATGAACACTCTAAAGTTAGTAAATTCTATTGCTAAGCAATTAATATAAGAAACTTAAGAAAATAAATCCAGGAATGCAAAGTCATACACACAAAACAACCACAATTTACAAATACACGCAAATCATTTATAAACTTTTACTTTAAATTTTTTCTTTTAAAATGGTGAAAGAAAACCCAAAATTTGTTAGTAAATAACTTATGTCATGTGAAATGGTGAAAGAAGATACTAAAATTATGAAAAAGTTGTGCTTTTTTTTTATCAATTTGTTTTTTATATTATAAGAATACAAAAAACTTTAGCTGGTAAATATAAACCTTACTAAAGAAGTATTATCAAATTTACAAAGCATTATCAACAAAAATATTACTGTTAGAATCCAATCCTTGCAACGTTAGGAGTACATCTCATATTCCATATCTAACCACCAAAAAGTCATTCTAGAAATTTCTTACTATTAAAAAATTGATATGTATGTGTGTTCAGCAAAAAAAATATAAATAAAAAGTAGCACTATCGACATAAAAAATAAATTGATTTGATTTACTTCTACTTTGCATCAGAATACAGCTTAGACATCAGAGCCCAAAACAGTTTTGGTTACTAATAAGCTATATGGACCATTAACTCAAATCCGTAAAAAACAACACAAACATGTTTTAAAATAACTTGGTCCGACATACTTTTACATGCATATCATGATACCATAGAAATTTCTTGGAGAACTATTTGGGCTCTTTAAACAGAGTGAGTCTGGATGGTGTAGAAGTAGGTCTTGTGGGGCCTGCCAATTAATTTCAAAGATGAATTTCTGATGATCACAAATTGTTTACTTAATTTTTAGGTCAAGTATACCACTCTTTTGAAAATGTATTGCTTAAATTGTTACAAACAATACAAAAAAAACATACCTATAGTAGTTGGAGAAGAATGGTTTGTATAGATTCCTCCGTTCTCTTTGTTGACCTATTTCCCAAAATTCGACACAACACAACAGAGGTATCAAACACAAAAACAACTGCAAAAAAAATCAACAATTTGAACATGTAGCAATAACAAATAATTGCATCTCAATCGAGTAAAGCAATATTTCAGTAAGGAAGATAGATGCTTACTGAGCTTGTTGATATTTGAATCGTTGTACTTCTAAGGTCAACACCCACTTCCCCACTAACACCATATATAATTAGACCAAAATAGATTCAATCAGATGAAAATGTTATGCATTAAAGATTTTATATAATACTTAATTTGGTTGAATAGTCAAACTCTCCTTCAAATCTCATTACAACATCAAGGGCGATGCAGTGTATCGGGTGGTGAGTGGTGATGATGAAATCCTCTTCGGTTCTAACTGTCAACCAACAAAAATTAGGGCAAATAGTATAGATGCAGGACAATACATGCTCATTAGATCAAAAAAATTTAAATCCTAAGTTTAACATCTTAAACATGTGGCATATGATATTGCAATCCAAAATACATTGTGTGGTATTAAAGAAATGTACATACGTAAACACAGGGATTAAAAATTAAATTGTATTAGGGGCAGTTCAGTCTTTTTATAATACCATAATAAGAAAAGGTTACATATTTTAGATAATTATCACCTACAATTAGTAACATGGTTAAGAGATTATATATAGAAATAGATTCATACAAGCTACCATGAAAACAGTGATTTCAAGTTCTGTTGTGATGGATACAAAAGTCATTTGACAATAAATCAGAATTTAGAAAGTGAGAAAATAGAGTTTTTGGTAACTAAAAATAGTAAAGTGTCTGATAGATTACCGTATTTGTATCTAATGGACATAATGCACATGTTAAAGATCATATCTCAAATGAAAAAGGAACGCCTTCTCCCGTAATAGAATGTTGATAGAATAGTGCCTTTGCTTGATTGACTAACTCCTACATCATCCTGTAGCAATTGTGTCTGCAATTGATAAGGCTACACGTTTAACATAACATACAGAGGTGCAAAGGAAGGTCAAAATGAGAATTAGATAGAATATAGCGAATTTTGTACTCCTCATTCCTTCAGCTTGATGTGAAACAATTTAAGCTTTGTAGTCCACTTCGACATTCTCTACTGATTCGGTACATGATCTTCACCATTTTTGTTTTGGAAGATGGGTGTGTGTGCTTTTTCCCTCTTTTCTAATACACGGATACTCTGCATCATGTAAAAACACAAACTACATTAGAATCAACTATTGTAAACATGAAAAAATGTCGAAAATTAGGGCTTAGCCACACAAAGATGATTAATTGTTGTCGACACCAAACTTACCTAGAAAAATCTTAGAGAAGTTTGCGGAAATTGAGTTGAAACAAATCTGACCACCTCCCCTCTGTCTTGATTATTGGAACTTCTAGAACCTGAAATGAAGAAAGAATCTGAAAACTAATGAAAGGAAGAACATGTTCTGCACCTGTTGCTAGACTGTTATCACCGATAATATAGTTAGAAGGGTATTTTAGTTTTTCCACTGTATTTTGTTATGAGAAGTTAGTTTGTTATCTTAGTCTGTTACGTTTCTTTTCATGTATATATGATAGAATGATCAGAGAAGTAAATTAATGAAGAAAGTTATCTTTTTCATATTCTATTGTTATTCTTCCATTGCAACTCTGAAATCTAACATGGTATCATATTCTTCATACTCTGTTCATCTCTGTTCATCATGCCTCAATCAACATCTAATTCCACAAATGCAATCGATTCTTCTTATCCTTTTTACATCAGTACATCTGATAATCCTGGTTCAATTCTTGTATCCAATGCATTTACTGGTGTTGGATTTGCTTCATGGAAGCGATCTATGACAATTTCGTTATCAGCTAAGAACAAAATCAGATTTATTGATGGTTCGATTGCTGTTCCTGCGATCACTTCTTCATCTTATTCATTTTGGCATCGTGCTAATTCTATGGTAATTAGCTGGATTCCCAATTCCTTATCCAAGAACATTTCTGATAGCGTTCTCTTCTTGTCTACTGCTCATGAGATTTGGAAATAATTGTCTCAACATTATGAACAGTCCGATGGAGCTTTGATATATCAAATTCATCAACAACTCTATTCTTTATCACAAGGATCTGATGATTTTTGTTCTTACTTCACAAAATTGACACGGATTTGGGATGAATTAAGCATGGTTCAATCAATTCCTGTTTGCTCCTGTGGAGCTTCAACTGCTATCAACAAATATTTTGAAGAACAGAAGTTAATTCAACTGCTCATGGGACTTGATGATTCTTATAAAATTGTTCATGGACAGATACTAATGATGAAGCCTCTCCCTACTATTTTAACTGCATATTCACTCATTCTTCAAGAAGAGCGCCAAAGAGGTATCACTATCAATTCTGGTATAACATCTGAATCAATTGCCATGCATGTGTCAACTGATCAATCTGCTCTTAAGAAGTCTCTTGTATGCAATCACTGTAAGAAACCAGGACATACAAAGGCTCAATGCTATCGTCTTAATGGATTTCCTGCTAATTTCAAGTTTACAAAATCCAAAAAGGACGACTCCAAGATTGTTGGCTCTTCTTCCAATAGCAGTTGTAATGCTTCTATTTCTCAAGATCAATATCATCACTTGCTTCAACTGTTGAACAACAATCATATCAGTTCTTCTTCATCAACCAGTCAAGCAAATAATTTCAATCTTACTGATGACTCAATGAATCCTGAAGGTACTTTCTCATTCAAGAAATTCGCAGCTAATGTCTATAAGTCTGCTAATTCTTTACACACTCATTTTTCTTGGATTGTAGACTCAGGAGCCACATATCATATGTGCTCCAGTAAGTCTTTTTTTTCCTCTTTGACCAAATTGTCTCAACCACAGTTTATTGGATTACCAAATGGCAATGATGCTTCTGTATCATTTATTGGTACTGTCAAACTTCATGATTCTATTGTTCTTGAAGGAGTATTATGCGTTCCTTGTTTTAAGTATAATCTCATTTCCATCCCAAAACTCACTTCTCAGTTAAACACCTTTGTTCTGTTTACTGATCACAATTGTATGTTGCAGGACCCTTTGTCAAAGAATAAACTCGCTCTTGGTGTTTTTGGCAAAAAAGTTCATGATTTGTATGTTTTTGATCACAAATCTATTCAGCAAAGCCTATCTTTTTGTTTTTCTACTGTTAAACATTTGTTCAATAATCAAGGGTCTGTAATTGATAAAGTTTCATTCTCTATGTTATGGCATAGGAGATTTGGTCACATTCCTTTGTACAAACGTTCTAAATTGTCTTTTGGTTAATTCTAAATCTCATGATCCTTCAATAGAATCTTGTGATATATGTTTCAAAGCTAAACATCATCGTTTACCATTTCCTACTAGTGTGTCATCTTCTATAGAAATTTTTTATTTGGTTCATATTGATGTTTGGGGACCATACAAACATATTTCTTATGATGGATATAAATTTTTTGTGACCATTGTTGATGATTTTAGCAAACATACTTGGGTTCACATGATTACACACAAAGGCTATGCTCTTGCTGTCATAAAACAGTTTGTGATATTTATCAAAACTCAATTTCATAAAGTAATCAAGATTATAAGAACAGATAATGCTTATGAACTGGGGTCAAGCAAAGAAGGCATTACGTTTTATCAATCAATGGGGATAATTCATCAAAAATCAACACCATTTACCCCTCAACAAAATGGAAATGTTGAGAGGAAACACAGGCACATCCTTGAAGTTTCACACACTTTATACTTTCAATCTGGTATAGGCAATAGTTATTGGACTAAATGTGTCAGGACTGCAGTCTATCTTATCAACATAATGCCTTCACAAAATCTATACAACAAAACACCTTTTGAGCTGTTAAATAACAAGGTTGCTGATTTGTCTCATCTCAAAGCTTTTGGTTGCTTGTGCTTTGTTACCACTTCAATTGTTCACAGAGATAAATTTATGCCACGTGCTCATCCTTGCATTCTTCTTGGATACCCTTTACATCAGAAAGCATACAAGGTTTTCAATTTGGTAACCAAGAATGTACACATTGCTAGAGATGTCAAGTTTTTTGAAGAGATATTTCCTTTACACTCTCTTTTAACTTCACCAATTTCAAATACCCAATCTCATTTTCCACTTAACTCTCAAGATATCTCTACTTCTTTTGTAGAAATAACCCACACCCATCTGATTCTTCACAGAATGACGATATTACCCCTGCTCCCAATCCACCGGTTATCCATGATTCTGTTCCTACTTCTCGTCCTTCAAGAACTAGGCAACCTCCTTCACACTTAAAAGATTATATATGCAATGTTTTTGATGCTTCATCTCATGTTTGTTGCCACACCATCACCAATCTTTGCATTCCTCATAATTCGGTTGATCAACCTCTTCTCAATTCAACACATCCCATTCAAGTCTTCAATGTTACAACATCAATAGTTGAACTTGCTTTCTTTCATGAAGCTAAAGGCAATCCTAATTGGGAGGATGCTATGCAACAAGAATTGGTTGCTCTTGATGCTAATTGAACATGGGATATTGTCAAATTACCCAAAGGAAAGAAACCAATTTCTTGTAGATGGGTCTACAAACTTAAATACAAATATGATGGTTCTATTGACAGGTATAAAGCCCGGCTTTTTGCTAAAGGTTTTACACAAAAACCAGGAATAGATTATCACAAGACTTTTTCTCCGGTTGTCAAATTCAACACCATCAGATGTATTGTTTCTTTGGCTGTTAAAAAAGGGTCGGACATTCAACAACTCGATGTTAACAATGCTTTTCTTCACAGAGATTTACACGAAGATGTTTATATGAAGATGCCACCTGGTCATTCCATCACAAAACCCAATCTTGTTTGCAAACTTCGTAAGTCTCTATACGGCTTGAAACAAGCATCACGGCAATGGTATGCAAAATTATCTCATGCTTTACAAGTTCAAGGATTTGTCTCATCTTTGAATGATTACTCTCTCTTTTTAAAGAAGACTCAAGATTCACTTGTTATAGTTGTTGTATATGTTGACGGCATATTAGTTACCGGTAACAATCCTCAAGAATTTTCAACTCTGAAATCATTCCTTCATGATCAATTCCACATTAAAGATTTGGGGACCATTTACTATTTTCTTGGTTTACAATTTGATAAGGTTGATCAAGGAATGGCTATACATCAACAAAAATACATTCAAGAGTTGTTACATTCGTATTCTATAGTTGATGTTCCTTCGGTATCTACACCATTTCCACATAATACCAAATTTACCACCACAGAAAAACTCACTGATCCTACAAGTTATCGACAATTGGTTGGAAAGTTGAATTTCCTTTTACACACAAGACCAAACCTTTCCTTTGCAGTACAATTCTTGAGTCAACACAACCAATCTCCAACTATAGAGCATTGAAATGCTACTTTACATGTGTTACGATATCTAAAATGAACTCTTAGTCAAAGTCTTTTATTCAACAGCAGTTCCAATTATGCCCTTGAAGCATATTGTGATTCCGATTGGGCTTCATGTCCTATCACTCGAAGATCAGTGAGTGGTTTCTTCATCTTATTTGGAGGCAGTCCAATTTCTTGGAAGTCTAAGAAACAAGTTACCATTTCATTATCTTCAGCAGAAGTTGAATATCGCTCAATGAGACGTGTTTGTGCTGAATTAGCATGGTTTATCTAGAATTTCTCACTGATTTTGATGTCAAGGATATAACCCCTATACCTTTAAAATGTGATAATATGGTTGCAATCTACATTGCATCCAATCCAGTATTTCATGAACGGACGAAGTACATCGAGCTGGATTGTCATTTTGTTCGGGAGAAATTACAAGAGGGATTGATTTCTTTATCACATGTTCATACTTCTCTTCAAAAATCTGACATCTTTACTAAATCTCTTCAACCAAATTAGCATTTGGAAGCTGTTTCCAAGCTGGGATTTGTTCCTTATCCTCCAGCTTGAGGGGGGGGGGTGTTAGATTGCTATTACTGATAATATAGTTAGAAGGGTATTTTAGTGTTTTCCATTGTATTTTGTTATCAGAAGTTAGTTTGTTAGCTTAGTCTGTTACGTTTCTTTTCATGTATATATGATAAAATGATCAGATAAGTAAATTAATGAAGAAAGTTTTCTTTTTCATATTCCATTGTTATTCTTCCATTGCAAC